ATGTTTTAAATTAATAATTTTAATATTTTCTGCTGATATACATGCTGTGGACACAAGTAGGCAACTCACTCATATCAGTACACCTGAGAAAAACAATTTAATTCTTTGTCAGTTACAATGCCCATTACAATTCTTGTTTACCCTCAAATACAAATGCTCCTCTAGTTTTTCTTGTACTGCTTTATTGTGAACAATGGACAGTTTTTGTTTTAAAAATTCGATCCTCGAAGCTTCTTCATTATGTTTCCTAATGTATAAAAAATAAATTAGGTTGAATTAGGATTTTGCAATTACATAGTTCTTGCAATTGTATTGCATTGTGCTGTATTACATTAGATTTTAAAACACAAATGTGAGCTTGAAAAAGAGAAAGACGGAGGGAGGGAAGTATGGGGAAAGAGATACTCACAGACATGCCTGACATGTGTTAACATCATGAATTTCAGCTGAGGAAGCCTAAAAAAGATTTTTTCAATCATAAAACAATATTTATTTGAGCAGCAATAGAAAACTAGTTCAATATTTTTGAAGAATGGCATTAAAAACTTAAAGAATAATATAACAATGCTAATGAAGATAATTCATTACTGACTGTGAACACACCTACTAGTAAATTACCCACTATTTAGTACAAGGCATTTCCTAAATTAACATCTACTTGTTTTTTTTTCTTTTATTTATTTATTTTTGGTGATATACTACCTGCTTCAAATCATGCATAAAATTGTCCATCTTCAGTCTCTGCAAGGCAGAACCAAATGGAACTGTTATGTCACCAGCTGCTCCTGGATTCTCATCTCTGAATTCCAACTTTTCTGAAGTAGCACAAGTACCAGGTGTCTGTCCTGCTTTTGTCTGTCCTTCTTTTGTATACTGTTTTAGAAGCTTCACTTTCTTGTTTATAAAGGACCTTCCCGACCTGCCTAATCCCACATCTATTAATTTAAAACAGATTGATCATGTAAAAAAAAAAAGAAAAATTGTTTAGACTACACAACATGTAAGTGTTCAAAAACATTATAACCTCTCCCCTAACTCATTTGACACAAATTACGAGTCAAATACTGAATGCAGTGAGTATAAAATTTACTGAAAAACTGTACCAAGGTAGCAAATATATTAGTACATCATTTTTCTACTGTAACAATTTAAAGGGTGATGGCTACAGCAAATATTACACCTTTCTGCTTAGACGAACTGCCTTTGTCTTTTCTGGGTTTCATCTGAAGGAGTTCCAATTTTCTCACTAAAAAGTCTTGTCTGGCTTCTTTGCCAGATAGATCCTGAAAAGTAATACAATTTTATTTACTAGACTGTATGCAAATATACATGCATTAACATTATTATACAAAAATTTTAACAATAATTCATTTCAGCTTAAAAATAGTAATCATTTATTCTAAATACTGAAAAACATAATCTATTTAGCAATAAAAAAAAAACTTGGCGTTGCACCAAAAAATGAAGTATTAAGATTCATTCCAAATGAAACTATCATTCTACGTAAATCAATCCAACTCTCACTGAATGCAATTCAATTAACAGATTAAATGTCTCTGAGTAGAATACGGATCACTGGTGATTATATGAGTACGATGGAAAGAACAGGAGACGTGTTAGTCTGTTAAACTGATTGCATTCACCGCAGAGTTGGATCACTCAATGTAGAAAGATATTTTTATTGGGAATGAGCCCATAGATGTACCAGGACATCAGGAGTCTGAAAACCAGCCCCAGGCGACTCAAACGAGCTGGTATACTTTCCACTGCTGTAGGTGGGAGAGAGAGTTTCAAAAGTTTCATCCTGGTAATTGGCAGCGGGTGAATCTGTGAAAGGTGTCCCATATGGTCTACTGGCAACTGACTGTCTAGTTTGGCTACAAAAAAATCAAATAATCATGTATATTTAAGATGTTTTCATAACTCATACACTCTAGGATCGGAAAATCTGCTCAAGATACTAGACAATGTTTCAATTTATGCTTCATGTAATACCTACTAATAAAATGGTCAGACACCATTCTAGGTTCAGATTTGGACCTGTAGATTTTAGGAAACTGGAGATCTGATTGGCCAGTAAGTTGAAAATTTACGGCACAGTCTGCCACAGTCTCTCTCATTCATTTATGTGAAAAAACACCACATCCAGGTTTATTGTTCTTGACATCTGGTACGGTATACGCTATATTATTAACCTTATAAAATATACAGTAGCTTACTGAGGAGTAACAGGAGTTTCTATCACAGTCTGAATGGATTCCTCAGTGGACAGGGTACCATCACCACTAGGCAGGGAGATACTTGTACTAGGACTCTCCTTCACAGTTGACTCACTGCCCGAATGCTCCTCAAGTGATCCCTGATCAGTCTCAGATATACTATCAAATTCTGAGGAGTATGACATTCTGGTGGAACATGTTATCTGATAAATAAATGGTTAAATTTAATTTACAGGAAAATAGTGTGTAGAAAATTTGTTAATTTGCCTGGTTTCACTCATGACACAATGAGGGAGGTGAAGGTGTAGTGGGTACATGTACCTTCAAAGTTTAAAGGGATAACAACTGTTCATTTTGGCCAAAATATGAATTTTCCTGGGGTAAAGAACAATTTCCCCATGCTTACCAATATGGTAAAGGAATCCATTCCCACATAATTCATAATTAGTCCATATTTTTTTTTCTAAAAAGTTTGGTTTTTTGTAATAATTTCTTAAGAGATAATTACAGAGTGTAGCCATCTATGGAGGTCAGGTGATGTGACGGCAAGCAGAAATTCCAAAATAATTGTGTTAACCGCCATTTTCGGGGTAAAAATAGAATTTATTGTATTTCTATGAGTTATTTACAATGTATTTATTGTGAAATATGGATATCGTTGGAACAGTTGTTATCCCTTTAAGGGGTGATGGATATGAGCCCACTCCTCCCGCCACNTCGCACAAGTACCAGGTGTCTGTCCTGCTTTTGTCTGTCCTTCTTTTGTATACTGTTTTAGAAGCTTCACTTTCTTGTTTATAAAGGATCTTCCCGACCTGCCTAATCCCACATCTATTAATTTAAAACAGATTGATCATGTAAAAAAAAAAAGAAAAATTGTTTAGACTACACAACATGTAAGTGTTCAAAAACATTATAACCTCTCCCCTAACTCATTTGACACAAATTACGAGTCAAATACTGAATGCAGTGAGTATAAAATTTACTGAAAAACTGTACCAAGGTAGCAAATATATTAGTACATCATTTTTCTACTGTAACAATTTAAAGGGTGATGGCTACAGCAAATATTACACCTTTCTGCTTAGACGAACTGCCTTTGTCTTTTCTGGGTTTCATCTGAAGGAGTTCCAATTTTCTCACTAAAAAGTCTTGTCTGGCTTCTTTGCCAGATAGATCCTGAAAAGTAATAAAATTTTATTTACTAGACTGTATGCAAATATACATGCATTAACATTATTATACAAAAATTTTAACAATAATTCATTTCAGCTTAAAAATAGTAATCATTTATTCTAAATACTGAAAAACATAATCTACTTAGCAATAAAAAAAAACTTGGCGTTGCACCAAAAAATGAAGTATTGAGATTCATTCCAAATGAAACTATCATTCTACGTAAATCAATCCAACTCTCACTGAATGCAATTCAATTAACAGATTAAATGTCTCTGAGTAGAATACGGATCACTGGTGATTATATGAGTACGATGGAAAGAACAGGAGACGTGTTAGTCTGTTAAACTGATTGCATTCACCGCAGAGTTGGATCACTCTATGTAGAAAGATATTTTTATTGGAAATGAGCCCATAGATGTACCAGGACATCAGGAGTCTGAAAACCAGCCCCAGGCGACTCAAACGAGCTGGTATACTTTCCACTGCTGTAGGTGGGAGAGAGAGTTTCAAAAGTTTCATCCTGGTAATTGGCAGCGGGTGAATCTGTGAAAGGTGTCCCATATGGTCTACTGGCAACTGACTGTCTAGTTTGGCTAGAAAAAAATAAAATAATTATGTACATTTAAGATATTTACATAACCTTCGCACTGTAGGATTGGAAAATATGTTCAAAATACTTGATAATTCTTGTAAAAATTTAGGCAAAGTTTTCTTATGTATTTCATTATAATACCTGCTGATAAATATAGTAAAAATATTCTCAAAGATTTGTTTGAAATGATAAGTTCAAAGGTGAAGGATATTGTAATAAGCACAAACAATATACACATCAAAAGGGTATGCAAGCTGCCAAAAGAAGCAATATTTTAATTCTGGCCTAAATCAAGTAACTACCACAGATTATAAGTAGTCTGAATTTATAAGATTTTACTTGAAAGCACAGGAGTTGCAAGATGATGTCATCTGGGTTTATTGTTCTTGACATCTACTACGGTATAAGATTTGTTATTAACCTTACAAAATATAGCTTACTGAGGAGTAACAGGAGTTTCTATCACAGTCTGAATGGATTCCTCAGTGGACAGGGTACCATCACCACTAGGCAGGGAGATACTTGTACTAGGACTCTCCTTCACAGTTGACTCACTGCCCGAATGCTCCTCAAGTGATCCCTGATCAGTCTCAGATATACTATCAAATTCTGAGGAGTATGACATTCTGGTGGAACATGTTATCTGATAAATAAATGGTTAAATTTAATTTACAGGAAAATAGTGTGTAGAAAATTTGTTAGATTTGCCTGGTTTCACTCATGACACAATGAGGGAGGTGAAGGTGAAGTGGGTACATGTACCTTCAAAGATAAAGGGATAACAACTGTTCATTTTGGCCAAAATGGGGTAAAACAAATCGGGCAACATGGCGGATCGCATTGACTTCTATGTAAAAGTTGGCAGACTTTGTCCGAAGATATCATTCTTCACAGTGCTTGACCACTTGTGTCAGTGAGGATGAGTTATTTACCTGGTTGATTTCCTTTACAGGCTTTCGTAATTAGCCGCTGCACACCTGGTTAAGAGATAAAATCGTCCTTAATATAACTGCCGATCGTTATCTGTGATCGGGAATTTTACAGCAGAAGATATTTTGCAAAGGCAGTGCTTGACCTTTTGTGTCTGGCGCGTTGAATCATTTACCTGGACTATTGAGTTAGCAGGCCTTTGTAATAAGCTACTGTTTAACTTGTTACGGGATAAAATTGGTCTTAATTGCATACGCAAATGTCCACAATAAGTACCTGTACATGTACATGAGGTACTGGTAGTGAAATAGGAATGGCTTCTTAGAACGTGGATCGTAAGAAAGGCCTGGGAAATGTGCAACACTGAGATGTTATTAGAATAAGATTTCTACAAATTGTGATTTAATCACCTGCTGCTGCAATAGCCTGGGGAACGGGATAGGGGCAATGTCATCGGTCCCATGGCCTCTTTGGTCTGTATACAGTTCATATGTATATTAATGCAAGCCTGGAAGGACAGCATAAACAGTTGCTTGCCAACTTTTTGGAAGAGAAGACACGTTGTGTTACCTGTATTAATATTGGCAGCTACGCGTCATATGAGTGTTTACAATCTTATTGTGCACTTTTCGGGCAAAATATCATGGAAGAGAGAACGTTAAGTTTCAAAACGTACAAGATTAAAATTAAATTGAATAACAAACACGGCAATAAAGCTGTATGTTATTTTAACAGTTAAGGTCGCTTTATCTATGGCAACTTTTTAAAAATTTTACTTTGATAACTTAAAGATTTAGACATTACCTCCCAGGTTTGTCAATACAGTATGTTGACGTACATATTTTTTCTTACCTTTATGACGCCATCAATAACTTACAACAAAAAAGTTTGACATTATAGCCCATTAATTTTAACTATACGAATTGATATACCGTCACACATGCCAAAACAAGATGCAATCTCAATTTCTTGTAACTACTACATGTACTAATTAATTTCTGTAACAAATGAAAAACATAAATACCAAACAAGGTACAATGACTTTCTCCTTATCTATAATAAAATGAACTATACACACATACACAAATCTTGTAGTGCATGTATAGCTACGACCAAATCTTGTTTCGATCAACAATCTCGTCTTTAGTCACGTTTGCACGACCTATAGCCTGCAACAGTCGTTTACTTTTCCGTTGATCTTTGAAATTTAACAAATCCCATTAGATTTTATTAATGTGTTGGTAGTGTCACCTGGTACACAGCAAGCTTCCACCATTTAACTTTTGTACGTGCCTGAGAGATAAAAGGACCGGTTCACTTCAGTAGACCTGCAAAATGTACCCGTCATATGTGTCAGCAATATGCAACGTCAACAGTTATTAGTACAATTGAAACCTTCCTTGATAATATCAGTTGCTTCCATATGGTTTTCTTTTCAATGAGATGTGAATATTATGCTCATCCAGGTAAGCAAATGAGTCTTTGCAATCTACTACTGTAAGATTCCTGATCACAGATAACGATCGGCAGTTAAGGCCGATTTTATCTCTTAACCAGGTGTGCAGCAGCTAATTACAAAAGCCTGTAAAGGAAATCAACCAGGTAAATAACTCATCCTCACTGACACAAGTGGTCAGGCACTGTGAAGTATGATATCTTCGGATAAAGCCTGCCAACTTTTACATAGAAGTCAATGCGATCCGCCATGTTGCCCGATTTGTTTTACCCCAGATGCCGGTTACTAAGGTAAAGTGCCCGGATGACCGACTGTCCCTATTTTGTTCACTGACACTGTCATTTTAAGATCACATTCGCCATTCTCTCTAAAGCCAGATGTGAAACATACTTGGATTAAGCGCATCACTCAATTAATTTATCATAAACTGGCCAGCAAATATGCTCATGTACAATGTACATGTACGTGTACCAGTAACTGTCATGCAATACAATTTATCATCAATTACACCATAAACTACAAATTACAGGAAACAACCTCGCATAATACCACGATGCAAAGGTATATATTGTAACAATTGACGAAATTTTAGCCCCAATAATGTATACAGTACAATGTAGGCCCACCTGCTGAGATTTGAGATCGTACCGCCTTAATCAAATGGAAAACAACTCGCCACCGATACCATTCGATGACAATGAAGACTTCACCTTTAGCATCAAGTCTTGCATCAGAAAGCACCTGTTGATTTTCTTCATAATTACCCTACCCTACCCTAATTATAGCTTCTTACTGTATAATCGCGGTCATCTAGGAAAAAATGCATAGAAATTATGTACCACTGTTCAGATTTATTTCTAATATATGTTAAAATTTGGAAATTGCACATTCACCAAAGACATCACACTTTTTATTGCAAATAATAATATTGGGCTTGGGCATATTTTTATTAGCCTAAAGTAATATGTATCTTTGATAGCACGTTCATGTTAATCTTTAAAACAATAGCAAAACAGAATTAGGTATAGGAAGCATTCATATCCTCAATTCGTCTGTACGAATCAATGAAATAAATGAGTTTTGAGTTTTGTTTTAGAATTCGATATAATTGATGGTCATTTAAGGTCTCATTTAGTTCATGAAAATGTTCAAGATAAAGATAGCACAGACAATGATTATACACCAAGCGTATTTTTTATTTTTCCACATTCATGTAATGTTTAAATTTAATAATATCAGTCATGAGTGAGCAAAAACAATCGTCCACAGTAAATCCTGCCGACCACGGTGAAGGTTCAACTTCCAAAATTGAAGTGCCACTTACAGGTTTAGGTCGGGCACAGAATTCTGTTATTTGTCCATTCAACTCTTTGAAATATTTCAATTCCACATAAAAGTCCTTCCCCTGTTTTCCTATTTCTCTTATTAATTTGTTCTTGAAATAATCGTAAAGTGCAAAGTCTACGCTATCAGAAGTCTTATGTCTGGCAATAAGCTCACCGTCAACGAAGTTCTCTGCACTGTATTTTCCCGTAAGTTTTCTCCTGTAGATAATGTCTCTTAAATCCCAACACAGGCGACGTCGAAGTAAAACGAGACCCTCGTCCGTTTTGTCCAGAATTACAACAAAATCGTAATAGTTCGACAGTTTATTCAAAAACGCTTTCAGATTTGTTTTATTGTCCCTTAAACTTTCGTGATACATCCCCATTTCTTGAGACATACTGTTTCTCTTCATCCCAGGAGGAATCTTAAAGGATTTGCTCCATTTGTCGTAATTGATGAGAAATTCTTTCAGGTGGTAGTCACTAGAAAACGGTAAGGTTGATTCAAGTCTCCTTTGATAATAAAAGTACGCAGATTTAAACTTAGAAAAGGGTTCTCTAACCAGACCAATCTTAAAAACGTCCTTAGGCATCGTCTTTCTGAAATGGGCTTCGTCAAAACCGCAGTGATGAGCCATGATGTCGTATTTCTTACCAGCGGACACTTTAGAGCCAAATGGGACAACTTTATTTTCCCACATTCATGTAATGTTTAAATTTAATAATATCAGTCATGAGTGAGCAAAAACAATCGTCCACAGTAAATCCTGCCGACCACGGTGAAGGTTCAACTTCCAAAATTGAAGTGCCACTTACAGGTTTAGGTCGGGCACAGAATTCTGTTATTTGTCCATTCAACTCTTTGAAATATTTCAATTCCACATAAAAGTCCTTCCCCTGTTTTCCTATTTCTCTTATTAATTTGTTCTTGAAATAATCGTAAAGAGCAAAGTCTACGCTATCAGAAGTCTTATGTCTGGCAATAATTTCGCCGTCAACGAATCTCTCTGCATTGTATTTTCCCGTAAGTTTTCTCCTGTAGATAATGTCTCTTAAATCCCAACACAGGCGACGTCGAAGTAAAACGAGACCCTCGTCCGTTTTGTCCAGAATTACAACAAAATCGTAATAGTTCGACAGCTTATTCAAAAACGCTTTCAGATTTGTTTTATTGTCCCTTAAACTTTCGTGATACATCCCCATTTCTTGAGACATACTGTTTCTCTTCATCCCAGGAGGAATCTTAAAGGATTTGCTCCATTTGTCGTAATTGATGAGAAATTCTTTCATATGGTTGTCACTAGAAAACGGTAAGGTTGATTCAAGTCTCCTTTGATAATAAAAGAACGCAGATTTAAACTTAGAAAACGGTTCTCTAACCAGACCGATCTTAAAAACGTCCTTAGGCATTGTCTTTCTGAAATGAGCTTCGTCAAAACCGCAGTGATGAGCCATGATGTCGTATTTCTTACCAGCAGACAATTTAGAGCCAAATGGGACAACTTGGAGTTTATTCATGAAAGCATAGCGTAAAAAAATACTGGCATGCGTCGTAGAACCACATTTGTGAACTTTGCGAAATAGAACGTGGTTCTTTGGCGTGCAGTTGAATGTAGCGTTTCTTCTTGGGAGTTTGGCCCTCCATGCTTTATACGCCTCCTCGTAGCGGGCCAACTGGCTGCTGTTCATTACCCTAGGAAAGTACCGCAAAATACCATGAAAAAATAACCACCAGAAAATTTAAGTTTCCTTTGCAAACAAATCGAGTTTCTTTTTTCGCCCTTAATTAAAAATATCCCAAAACGTGCACGTAATTCTGTGGACGGCTTTGGTTCATTTTGCATACCTCGATGATACGGAAAAAAATCTGATGAAAAAACATGTATATTTTCAAAACGTATAACATTATTATCTATCATAAATACGTACCCACTGCGGCAGGTTTTCACATCTGATCGTGCAATTTCCCTTGTATTCCCTTGTAGATTGTTCGGTACTTTGAGTAGAAAATACAAAATTAGAAAAATGACGGAACAGACAAGAATTAAAGACCAAAAAACAAGCCTCATACGTCTGTGCAGAGTCATTTTCCTTTTGTTGTTGACACACCTATGAAACTGCGTGTATCTTCAGCAACAGCTGCTCAGAATTTTGATTACCAGCATGACAGATAATTTTTGGCACTTGCATATGCTAACCCCAATACTCCAACTAACCGTAACCTGCACTAATCACACGGGAGCCCGGAATTCATTCCTAGGACTTGCATTCATTCAACACTGGCACTAAATTATCATTTTCATATGCATCACTATCAAGGTATCATTTCGTTTGTCACGCTAATCTGCTGTCGTTTGTTTCAAATGATTGAATTAGTATATGAATATTTTGGAACGTGCCTTGATCTGTTTTTGTAACAACATACAGTGAACGATATCTATCTTAGAATAGGAGCACTCCTTAGCCCGAAAGAGGAAGAACTGTGCGTAATAATGGACCCGAAAACTTCGCTGCCGTCACATACGTGCTTGGAAGCATGTCAGGTTTTCTGTTAAAGCGAGAGCGATATATATATATATATATATATATATATATATATATATATATATATATATATATATTGTGTTTGATTTCGGCAGAAAGTTCGGAAGAGATTAGCTAAAGACCTTGTTGTGAAAACTGCCGAAAACTTTCCTCATGAAAACCGAACCAATCTAGCGTTCCTCAGAGAGGAAGTTTTGATACATGTACATAATTCCATTTCTTTGTCTGAGAGGAAATTAATACCTCTAAAACTTAATAGTGATTTGGGCACCGTACGCCTACATATTTTTTCATCAAATAGCAGCCTTGCAAAGTTAAGTGGTGTTATGTCAGGCACTGGAAATGCTTCCAGTTAAATTGTTTATGAATGAAGACAAATTCTATTTCCACGAGTATTTTGGCATGTAACTGGAAGGATGATATGCAGTCAACAGACAATCTACTTGTACATATAAGTACGCAGGTAGGCCTATATAAAAAATTCAAAGCAGTTTATATCATCCAATTACAAATTGTCAATAAGAGTAAATAAACTGTATGATCATGAAAACTTTGTCAAATTACATGTATGTCTCAAAGAATCAAAAAAAGATTGGGACTCGTTTGTAAATTCAGCTTTAATTGTGAACCGAATGCTAGTTTAATGACAAGCCCATTATTTTTATACGCAAAGAGGCAAGATTATCAATTGATGTAGCCTTTCCGCCCCCTGTAAAAAACCTCCGTCAATGAAATATGATTAAAAAATTGAGCGTTGCTAAAAAGATTGCCCACGAAAATAAAAGACGACAAACGAGAGAATACACAACTGTACGATCGAAAATCTGAGAACGTGAAATGTCAAGTAGGCGATAGTGTATTTGTTTACAATCCAACAGTACCTACCCTAGGTTCTAGATTCCGGTATTGCCAGCTCGATCTTGATTTCATATATAACCCATAGTAGCAATACCAATAAAAGCGACTCCACCACAAGGTATATTTAGCAAGCTAGCTTTTACGTTCCTCTGACGCTCAGGGTAACAGTACCAAGAGGATGTACCAAACAGTTGGCACGACTTTCCCATGGTCCATTCACTTTATTTGATATGCTGACACATGTTAATGCAAAATAATCCTTGTGGCAATCATGCATTTATAGTGAAAACATCGTACACGTTAATCGATTGAAAATGGGGTACGACAGGAAAATTAATGAAACCCCTGGTTTAAACGGTGTAGAAGATAACGAATTACAAATGAAATATTTACTCAAATGAGAGTTTTAGAGTAACAAAGAGTTTTAGAATTTTAGAGTCACAAAATAAAGAAAGGGGAGAAAACGAAAACAAATATCATGTGGATTAACCTCGCACAACAGATGAATAATTTGAAATCGAGAAGGGTTTACGAGGTAGAGCCAGGAGAAACGATGAAATACAGTACCTTTATCAGTGAAAGGAGTTCCCTCATATAGCCCAAATACCTGGGAGCCAATTGAAAAAACCTCAACGAAGAGACAGAAAAACACAAAATAATAATAATAATAATAATAATAATAATAATAATAATAATAATAATAATAATAATAATAATAAAATATAAGATGGACGGGAAAGAAAAGACAGAGTAAGGAGCGTAACAATAAAATAGAAAATACAAGAATTAAATTAAAGGTCAAACGCACCTCGGATTACTTTACTGCACGAATACGATTGAAGTTAATTAATACAAGTTCCCTCGATCAAATTACGTTTTCGACTTGCCAGGTATTGGTAATTTGGGGATAAAAAAGGAAACTCAAATGTTGAGTGTTACAATGCCGGAAAAAGCGAACGAATTTGCATATGAAGTTAAATATACTTTTACTCGATAAATTGCCACATTGAAATTTTCAGTTTCTGGCAATGAACTTCTTGAAATGATCTTGTATGGATTTTATACGGTTAAATTGGCAATAAAAGGTATACACGTAGTAAAGATTGGTTCAATCCACAAGGGGTTCAACGATTATATGATTATACTATATACGGTATTAAGATTGAGTTTAATCGACCAGGAATTATACGAGACATTCACATTGGACAACGATGGACGTACAAGAAACTGTGAACAGTTATCCATTTGTGCGCCAACGTACGAGGACAGTACATTATCCATTACATGAAGACAATTAAATTTCAATTCAATTTATTTCTGTGCTGGTACATAGATTGTCATGACCTGGTACAATATGATATATTAATGACGATACAATACAATACAATTGGTGCATTACCATTTCTCTATTTGGTAATTATGTTGCCTAGCCGTTTGTGAATGAAAAAATAATCTTTATATAATGAATATATGTACTAGTAAATTTATTCATAAAATATTCTATCTAAGCAGTGAGATAAGCCTTGGTGTGATTATGAATTTACCATAAACATACTATAAACATATGGGTACAAGCATATGTTACACAAAAGGATATGTTCAAACTTAACGGGATGACAATCGCATTGATTCAGTGAATGAAACGAATCATTTGACATTACATGCAATTGAACTCTCATTCGACATATCGAAATGGAGGAAATAATAGAAATTGGCACTTTTCTATTTTAATCTTGTTAAAAAAACATTTTTCTTTTTCTTAGCCGTTTGTTTACACGTGCAGCATGACAGACTTGCTATGTGTCCTTTTTACCGCAACAATAACAGATACATTGTAAGATTACGAGCAAAACAATTAGGTCTAAGATGCGTGTACACACCACATGTTTGACACATTGGCCGTTCACTTATCGGACTTCAGTGTTGAGGATAATTCGGACGTCCAGCTGGTGTTGATTTGTATCCTGGGCGCCGCAGATGCATGTCGGGTTGGGGTATGCGTCTGGGACCGATGGCGTTGGGAGTGGACTTTCTTGGAGACGCAGATGGGCGTGCTCTCGTGAGTAAAACGGTCTTTTCATTCCTGGCATAACTCGAGTTCTGTAAGAGGTGGACTGCGGACTGTGCGTTTGTATGAACGACATCACCAATGAAAATTTGAAGAGCGTCAATTTTCTCTGTTATCATATTAATGTTAGTTCGTTGACTTCTTTTCGTGGGTTGGACCGCATTTTCTGCAATCATTTACTTTACAACAAAATCATTTACTTTACAACAAATAGTTTGCGACGTCTGATAGTTATATGGTGACATTGGTAAAAGTGATGGCGGTGATCTCGCCAAAGGAAATCGGTAAATCTACGTTATTGCATTTGAGTTCATGTTACATGTTACATGAGTGGAATCTTACAAGTTTGATTGGTGGTTTATCTTAACCAGGCTTTCTGCCGAATAAGATGAATACTGGGAATGTGACACGCACAACAGTATCTAAGGTGGCATCCTCTCCCAAGGTTTTCAGTATGTTTTTCTGCAAGGTCTCCAATATGTCACTGCTGGAATATTTCTTAACATATTTGACGTAACCGCTGCTGGAACTTGCAAATCCAACGACCTGCTCCACCGTCATGTCATGTACTATGGTCATTGTCTCATCCCTGAGATGGTCTTCCAACGGTGGTCTACAGGCAAATATTTCATCCGGGTACCTGTTGTAGACATGCTTTAACCTGTTTATCATTTCAGCGGGGCAAGATGTTTCCCAAAGCTTGTCATAATAATTCCCAAGAGGTTTTGTCAATAATTTTGCTTGTGGATGTGCGCCGAATTCTGGAAAGGTAAATGAAATCAGTGCCACGCACCCGTTCGGTTTTAGCACCCGGTAAGCTTCAGCATAGAACTTGTCCATATCAATCCAGTGGGCAGCTTGAACACAGGTAACTAGCTCCACAGACTGGTCAGCGATTGAAAAACATTCGCCTGAACCCACTTTGTATGTGATATTCTTTTTGTCGTTCCCTTTGATTGCTGCTGATATCTGATTAGCGCTGATGTCTATACCCGTCACTTGTTTAAAGTGAGGAGCCAGAAGGTGTGTAAACTGACCTGAGCCACAACCCACATCTATGGCATGGTCATACATGTATGGTGCTGGAAACTTCTCCTGGAGATATGTTAAAACCCTATCTGTGATGTCCGTTGTCCATACGGACCTGTATTTTGCATACACAGATGTGTGGTCTGCACCTTCGTATAGTCTGAACGCCATTACATACGCGTCTTGCGATTGCGTTTTGCACGTTATAAAAAGATTTCATTACATAAGTACAAAAAGCTTGCATTACAATGTGGATCTTGCTGCTTTTTATTGTGATGCGGGATGTGAGCACATAGACAATTTAAGGTTACAGACAGGCTTAAATTGCTGTTTTTTACGTAAGTGTTTTGAATAATATAGAGGGGTGCTTATTGTTGTATCATCTGTGTGAATCGTGCGCTATGCGACATGGGGGGACCCGTTCGAAAATAGTGATTTGCAGTTTATTGCTCGTCTAACCAGTGACGAATTTTGCCCATGTACACTTAAAATTTTTCAGAAGGCTACGGCTCTAGAACGATGTAATATGTCAAAAAGTAAAACCACATGCAAAATTTGGCGCTTTTCCCCGCCGTGTCACGATTTGGCCATTTTTTCCCTAAGCCACCCCACTATTTCCTTTGAGCGACACTACGTAAAGCTGACATGAACCAAGGAATTGCGGATTGCGTCTTGCGCGTTATAGGCCTAAAAAGATTTCATTAGTTTACCTAAGTACAAAAAGCTTGCATTACAATGTGGAGCTGGCTGCTTTTTATTGTGATTCGGGATGTGAGCACATAGAAATGTTAAGGTTACAGACAGCCTTAAATTGCTGTTTTTTACGTAAGTGTTTTGAATAATATAGAGAGGTGCATAGTGTTACATCAGCTGTGTGAATCGTGCGCTATGTGACATGGGGGGACCCGTTCGAAAATAGTGATTTGCAGTTTATTGCTCGTCTAACCAGTGACGAATTTTGCCCATGTACACTTTAAATTTTTCAGAGGGCTACGACTCTAGAACGATTTAGTATGCAAAATTTGGTGCTTTTCTCCACCGTGTCACGATTTGGCCATTTTTTTTACCCTAGCCACCCCACTATTTTTCTTTGAGCAACATTATGTAAAGTTAACACGAACCATGGGTTGCGTTTTGCACGTTATAAAAAATAGTAATACCTAAGTATAAAAAGCTTTCATTACAATGTGGCCCTTGCTGGGATGCGGGTTGTGTGCACATAGAAATGTTAAGGTTCCAGACAGGCTTAAATTGCTGTTTTTACGTAAGCGTTTTGAATAATTCAGAGGGGTGCTTAGTGATGCATCATTTGTGTGAATCGTGCGCTATGTGACAGGGGGGGGAGGAGGGGGCGTTCGAAAATAGTGATTCGCAGTTTATTGCTCGTCTAACCAGTGACGAATTTTGCTCATGTCCACTATAAAAAACGTCCCTCTTGACCCTGAAGCAACCGTCCGTGGTGCGAACGGTGAAATACAGTACCTTAATTAATAATTAATAATAATAATAATTTATTGTCATATTTATACAAGCATAAAATGAAAATTGGTATGATCTGTCGATAAAAAGTAATACAATGGAATTATTAAAATACATTTTGTTCATTAAAAATACGTACTGCTGATGGATAAAAACTGTTTTTAGTGCGCGTGGAGGTTGCTTTTAATGACCGTAGTCGGCTTGATGACATATGCATAAGTAGGCTATTCGCTGGGTGACCAGGGTCACCCGTGATTGATTTCACTTTCTTGAGCACTCGTCTCGTATACAAACATTCAATTGACGGCAAGTCCCTACCTATGGAAAAGGTATTGCCGACTTTGACCTGTTGAGTACGATTAATTAAGAAATTTAAAATCCAATTACTGAGTGATGTACTAAAATGGAGAGAGTTTATAAGTTTTTTGTGAAGTTTAAAAAGCTACATCGTGTTAAAAGCAGAGCTATAATCAAGAAAAAGTAGTCGTGCATAGTTAGGGATTTTACGATCCAAAAAAGTAAGAACATTATGTAAAGTGATAGCAACAGCTTCTCAGTCGACCTCTTCTTACGATATGCAAATTAAAAAGGGTCGAAGGACGTCGGTAATTTTGATTTCACATGTTGCAGAACAAATTTCTCAAGCACCTTCATAACAATGGAAGTTAGAGCTACATGCCTATATATAGTCATTGAGAGACAGGTAACACGAGTGCGCTTCGGAACAGGTATTATCACAGATTGTTTAAATATTTTTGGCACATAACTAGAGCGTAAAGGCCAATTGTAGATGTTGCACAATACACCAGAGAGCTCATCGGCACATAATTTCAGCAGCCTAGGTGTGATCCCATCCGGACATGTGAATCAGTGAAAGGAGTTCCCTCATATAGCCCAAATACCTGGGAGCCAATTGAAAAAACCTCAACGAAGAGACAGAAAAACACAAAATAATAATAATAATAATAATAATAATAATAAAATATAAGATGGACGGGAAAGAAAAGACAGAGTAAGGAGCTTAACAATAAAATAGAAAATACAAGAATTAAATTGTAGGTCAAACGCACCTCGGATTACTTTACTGCACGAATACGATTGAAGTTAATTAATACAAGTTCCCTCGATCAAATTACGTTTTCGACTAGCCAGGTATTGATAATTTGGGGATAAAAAAGGAAACTCAAATGTTGAGTGTTACAGTGCCGGAAAAAGCGAACGAATTTGCTTATGAAGTTAAATATACTTTTACTCGATAAATTGCCACATTGAAATTTTCAGTTTCTGGCAATGAACTTCTTGAAATGATCTTGTTNATTTTTTAGAAGGCTACGGCTCTAGAACGATGTAATATGTCAAAAAGTAACCACATGCAAAATTTGGCGCTTTTCTCCGCCGTGTCACGATTTGGCCATTTTTTCCCTTAGCCACCCCACTATTTCCTTTGAGCGACACTACGTAAAGCTTACATGAACCAAGGAATTGCGGATTGCGTTTTGCGCGTTATAAAAAGATAACATTACCTAAGTACAAAAAGCTTGCATTACAATGTGGACCTTGCTGCTTTTTATTGTGATGCGGGATGTGAGCACATAGAAAATTTAAGGTTACAGACAGGCTTAAATTGCTGTTTTTTACGTAAGTGTTTTGAATAATATAGAGGGGTGCTTATTGTTGCATCATCTGTGTGATTCGTGCGCTATGCGACATGGGGGGACCCGTTCGAAAATAGTGATTTGCAGTTTATTGCTCGTCTAACCAGTGACGAATTTTGCCCATGTACACTATAAAAAAAAACACCCGTTTTGTTGTCAAGTATCTACCATGGTGAAAATACGGGAACTCACAAATGAACTGCAGGGAGGTCAGGTCAAATTTGGAAGTAATATTAATATCAGCCAAATTGATTTTATCTGATAGAGCAATTCATGAACTTTCCAAAACATTTTATTTTCTGAAAATCAAGCAGGCCAATCAAAAGTTATTAAATTTACAAGAGTGCTACTCGGCCACAAAATTACGTACTGGTACATCTATGCAAGCATATATCAATGAATTATCAATACATGTACACCTATTTCAAAACCTAATCAAATAGTCTGAGCAGGCTTACGGCGGACTGGTCTTGAAACTTTCTAGTTACGGCACACATGACCAGTTAAAGTAGGGCAGATTATATAATAGTATAATCGACCTTTAAGGTCCAAATAACACCAAACCTTATCACCGCTTTTCTACCCGACCATTATGGCCAATCTGGAGTCTAAATACGACCCTGAAGCAGCGTCCGTAGTTCGAACTGTAGACGGGAATGGTGACGAAATGACGGTGAAATACATGGATACACTGATAGGTCTTTCTAATGTACCGTCTATTATAGGGAGAGTCGATGCATTTGCGACCCTTCCGGTGCGCAATGATGACATCTTCTTGTTTGCCTTTCCCAGGTCAGGTATGTCTGGGATAGAAAATCCTAGGGTATATGTATTAATTACGTCACCTAATGTTCGTAAGCAATGCTTCACGGAAGTTACAACGTTACGGAAGAATTACGACATACATATGTACCTATCTTTATCTTTTTACCCTAAATGCATCTACCCTGTACGTCCTCTACCAGGGCCGCAGTTATCATTGTTGACATTTTTGCTGAGACTCACAGTACAGAGATTAGCCATCTATTTAACCAGAGACATATCTGTTAATATCTAGTGAAAAATCAGTCTGTGGCCCTGGTAGAGGGTCAAATGCATCCAGATTTTCATTCATAAATGCGTAGGTCTACTCAGTGGCTGCATGGAATACTTAGGCCTACACATTCTGACTAAATAATGGACTTCGTGTAAATCTTTATACAAATACACTTGTGGGTGTGTGGGACGGGGGGGGGGGGGGGGGTAAACTAGAATACAAATCCTATAAACTATACAACTTCAAGTGCACAACTTCTTATGTACAGCACATAAATATTGAAAATAGTTCAGAACTTCATTCAATATTTTACTTAAGGTCACCTGTGTCCTTCCGCCAAGGAGCAAACATCTTTACAGCTACGTGTATATGATTTTCTCTTCCAGGATGCCTTCTGTATAATCCCTTACATTTGTTTTAATTTATATATTTGTTTACTAATCTTTGTTCTTCAACAGGAACACATCTTGTGTTTGAAATAATAACCCTCCTGTTAAACAACAAGACGGAGCTAAGTACCTTGCCTAAACAGGACTACCAGATAGAATTAGTTAGCCAGGACCACCTTAACAATCTACCGTCTCCAAGACTGATAGACACACATCTGCCGCACCAGTTCTTTCCCAAAGAAGCTCTGCAGGTAAAAAATACCAGACAGTGGCATACCCTAATAAGTCACTGCAAAGTCGTCTCAGCTAGAAAACATCTAGCATTATATATGTGAATGAAATGGACAGGGGGACGATGAAGATAGGAGACGGAAATGCTGGGTTCAGCCCCGTTCATTATCTAAAAGAAGATAAAGGGTGAAGTGAATACGTACCCGCAACACAGTGCAAAACGACCTCTTTCGCACGTCGCACGTGGGGGGAGGGGGGGATAATGCCACACACACACACACACGCGCGCGCGCGCGCGAACGCAGCAGCTTGATATTCTGGACCCGTCAGTGAAATAATGCAACTAAGCTCTTTGAAACAAACAGGTAATAATGCCTTATCTGCCTATTTAAACGCGCCCAACGCAGTGAAACTTTAAAAACTAATTTATTTATCATTTCGAACACCCTTTTTTTATGTACAGACACAGATGTGTCTGTACATATAGCCATCACCTGCGTCTGTCGTCGCCGTCGCCGTCGCCGTCGTCGCCGTGCACTTTTACCGATAACACAATAAGTGGAAAACCGTTTTTTCTTTTGGTTTGAAACTTACAGAATTGATGAATATTCATAATACGCAGGTCAAGTTCGAAAATCAGCATGATCGGGCCATTTTTAGGGAAGTTATGCTGTTTTTTCACTTTTTTCAGCATATATACAGCACCGATAACACGATAAGTGGAAAACCATTTTACCTTTTGGCTTGAAACTTACAGAACTGATGAATATTCATAATACGCAGGTCAAGTTCGAAAA